CTCCAGATTGCTTTCTGATCACAAACACAGGGGAATTAATTCCAAGGGCTATTAGACAAGACTATATGCCCCTTTTCCAGCTGTAGCTGTACAAATTCCTGTAATATGCACTATTTGTCTAATGACAGGGGCTACTGGTTCACCCACACAGGATCAGAAGTTTTCCAAATTTGGGGGTGTCACACATCCCAATGACCCCCTATACGAAAATTTGAATGCATAAAAATCCCCCACGATGTTAACACATCCCTGCCCCACAAAACCAGGGGAACAGAAAGCAGAAAAAGTTTTACCGTGGCTATCTGCCCATCAGGCCCTGTTATTGGCACCAAGTATTGGCTCTGCAAGTTTTCACAGTTCCCACCCACGCCAGAGAGTACCTGAGGCACAGCCATCAGTGGCCACTTACTGGGCCATTGGCTTTTTGAGATAAGTCACATCAGCTCCTGTTTTAATAAGTCCTATCAGGACTATGTCTTTACCTTTCAGAGTCACTTTGCATTGGCATGTTGAACCTGCAGATGTAATGCGTTTTGTCCATAAAATCTGTGGGACCCCTGTAGAACCAAAACCCCCCTCCCTCTTCTCAGCTATTGGGAGTGCAGACAGTGGTGCTGCAGGAAAGGGTATAAGTTGAGCTATATTGCTCCCAGCCCGGACTACACAGGGCAGATGAGGAGTCCAAGCCATGATCTTTATTTCCCCAAAGGAATCAGAGCCTATAGCCCCAGGGAGAACAAACAACCCTGTTATCGAGGTGGAAGGTCTGCTTATAATCAAAGCGTGCATATTCTGTCCTGGCGGTCTGAAAACCCCTGTGAGAAGCAAATGGACTGAAGAATCAAATAATGTTACTGTGTCGGAGGTTGCCAGGTCCATTCCTGCACTGCCTGGGGTGGATGGTTGTAAGTCAGCAACAGTTGCTCCGCAGACATGGGCAGGGCTGATTAGAAGTTCACGGTTGCTCCCAGCTGCTGCATCCTTGTACATCACCGTCCCACACTGTGAGAGAAGTTTCCCTGCAAAGGCTGGCAATTCTGGTGGAACTTAGAGCAGCGTATATTAACAAAGTGAGGGCCTTTTGGACAGCAAGGGCATACACCCAGCACTTTATGGTTTTGCGTTCTTTGGCAGTCTCTGCAGATATGTCCATGAAATAATCACAGGTAGGAGACCTTTCTCCTTAATGCCTTTACTAAAAGCTATCAGCTCAGGCGAGGAGAACCAACTGGTCCATGCTCATGCCACCTGCCATCGCTGCTCCCAGGAGCGACTCGGTGGAGGAGGAAGAGCGCAGCTTCGTCCACTGGTCTGTGGGCAGAGCTGGGAGTTCCATCCTCACGACAGCATCAGGAAATCCGTTCTCTTTTGGTTCAACATTTGAGGTCCTCTGTCTAGATGACATCTTTTAGGTGAGGGTGAGGGGGTTAAAAGGATCTTGGCAGATACTAGATTCTGTTCCTCACGTCTAGCCATTGCTTTGATTCATCAATTTTGTGTTGTTTCTTTGTTTTAGGGGTTTTTGTCTAGGTTTGCTGAGGGGTCCCTCCTGTTGCATGCTGAATCCAATGTCATTTGCATGCCTACTCGATGTCCCTTCCCCTTCACCGTCTGGGTGCCATTTTCCCGGACGCAGCAGGCCGACGCCCGGCTAAGGGAGCCAGCCTGTGAAAAACGCCAATCACTTGTTTTTAAAAATTTAAAAGTTTAATAGTAATAAAATGGTTTAAAAGAATAGTAACACAATTAGAGTAATAATAATTTGGACAAATTGAATTAAGACAATATGACACAATAAAAACAAAGAGTTACAGACATCTGGGTACCTTTTCTGGGCATCACGAGCCCCGAAAAAGGACACCTGTTAACAAAGGATTAACCCTTAAGAACAATAGTCCGTTGCATATTCATACACTACATACATGATGCATAAATTCCATTCAAACATAGGATTCTGTCTGGTCAGTGTCAACTTCTTCCTTCTAATCCTAATAGCGCCTCGGAGGCGGAAAGAAGTTTGTTTCTTCCGATAAGAAGGCCATAAATTCTTTTTCTCTGAAAGATCTCGGTGTCCTGTGGCTGTTATCTCACTGCAAGTCCTTTCTTTTAAACAAAGCATCTTACATAGCATAGTTTCTATTTTAACAATTTTTAAAACCTAAAATTATATTTAACAAACTATTTCAGAAAATTAATACAGCATTGCTTTCTAACACAACACATATAATATTCATTTTAATATTTGCGAATAGCCAATCATAAAATACATGCATTTTTCACAGGCCCATAGCTGCCCCCGCGGGACACGGCAACCTGGGCTGGTACCCCTGGCTCGGCCGGGACCCGCGCCGAGGCGGGAGCGCCCCCCCCCCCCCCCCGCTCCTCGGGGCGGGTCCGCACCTCCGAGGCACCACCCGTGGGTCTCCCCGGTACGGTCGGGACCCGCGCTGAGGAGGAGCACCCCCCCTGCTCCCCGGGGGTCACCCCCGGCACGGGCCGGCCCGCGCCAAAAGGTCGGCCCCCGCTGGGGCAGCGGCGGGCTGGCTCGAGGCACTTTTAAAAGGGAAACTGCTAACAGGAAATTACAACATGAAATTATTAACAATAAATAGTTAGTATAGTTAGTACTCCAACTTGGCAGCATTTGGTTTAACTTGTGAACTCTGCAACCTTTAAAAAATGGGCAGCTTTTTCTCCTCATAAAAGTCCATATTCCCTGCAGCCAAAACAAGCCAGATGTTTCCCAGGGGTTAATTTCATGACAGCAAAAGTGTCTGCTATTCCTTGCCCCAAGGCTTGATATTGACTGCTGTGGTGTGTTGTAATGTCCCCAAGCGGTTGCACACTTGTATCGTTTGGAGTAAAGTGGGTTCAGGTTCAGGGGGTAAAGATTTTAAAAGCTGCTTACTTTGGCCAGTTTGAGGAGTGTAATTTCCCCGGCTTGCTCACTATTGACTTGTCTCTCCTATGTTTGTTTCAATCTGTCCACAAACTGCATGTAAGGCTCTTGTGGACCCTGTTTGATATTTATGAAGGACTATTGCAGAGTTTTGGCATCAGGAACCTTAAGGAATGCCAGGCGAGCTGCCTCTGTAATACCCTGTAGGGCTTCTCTTGGTAAGGTGGCTTGGCTATTAGGGTCAGTATGCAACCCCTTCCCTGCAAGGTGGTCAATAGTTAAGGCAGCCAGGGCTTGGTGTGCATGCCCTGCATACGTTGCAATTAAATTCTCCAGTCCTTTTCTCCATTGTGCCATAAATATTGCATATTGTGTCAGTGTGAGCAACAGATTTACCAGGAACTTAATGTCATGAGGAGTCATGAGGTGAATAATAAATGTTGCTCATAACAAATTACTAAAGTAGGAGAGCCACAGTCCATATTCCACAGCGGTACAGTGCAGTTCCCTAATTTCTGAGTGATATAGGGGCTCCCATTGTGGATTTCCCCCATCGGGTTGAATTGCATGGGGGCGACAAAGGTTTCTGCAGCAGTGTTAAAGTCTCTGTCCTTAAGGGCTTTCCTTTTTATCTGTAACCAATTGTTACACGTATCCAAAGGGAGTAAGCTTGCATCTTTTTCGGGGCTGGGGTTGAAAGAGTCCAGCTCCCCTTCACTGCTAGGGCCAGTGTCTGCCACATAAGCGAAAAGCGTCCAGCGGCTCTGGGATCACTGGCAGTGTGGGAGTGGGACTGGGGGTGGCGATCAGGCTCTATATCTGGCACTCGCTGGGGAGAGCATGCAGACGGGGAGCGGGAGCTGGGCAGGTTTCGATCCGGCGCAGTTGCTGGGGCCATCTCTGCGTAGCCTCACAGGCTGTAGCCTTGCAGGCTTCCCCGCTCCCTCCCTCTTTTTAATGGCGTCCATGACTGCCCTCCAAGCAGGAAGCATTCAGAGCTCTGGCTCGCGGGCAGGCAGAGTAGCCAAGTCATAGAGCTTTACACTGACCTTATCTCAGAAATGAAAAGTTAAATACAGAAGAAGGGGTAGCACTGGGGACCATGCATGACACCAATTGTAAAAGTGACTTAAGGTCGTGTTTTTGGATGGAGGAGCTATGCCTGCCCAGAAGGGCAAGCATGGTTCCAAAGACATCTCTCTCTTTGTACATGTCCTATCCCATTGCTTTAGTTCCCCTGGCTCACCTGTTGCAGCAGACAAGCAATTGTGGGCCCAAACATGGTTGTCTCACTGTCATGATCACTTCCAGGGGCTCGCCAACTGCCACCAATTAGGCCAGGTATTCTTCCTCCAAGGAGGCACCAGCTGTCAGCGATGGAGGGAGGCGGAGAAGACTGATTTGGTGATCAGAATACTATTTTATTGTGGGATACAAGCACTTTTATAATATTTTAGGGAGACTAGATATGTGTACTACAATGGTTAGGTTAAAATCACAAACACACACTTGGCATAAAACAACATCTCTTGCTTGCAGAGTTTAAAAGGATTTTCGTTTTCCGGTAAACCCATCTGAATAAATCTGCTTGCTATCTAGATCTAATTTTCAAAGTTCCATTTGCTTTTGCCAAGACATTTTTTCTATCAAATCTCTTATGCTAATAAGTCCAAAGTACTGTCTGTCTTGTGCACCCCAACAGGCTGGCACCAGCAGTGACCTCTCACCGTGTCCCTTTCAGGGTGCCATCACCATGGGTGTCAAGCTGTTCCTGAGGCCGAGCTCCCAAAGGATCTGCCAGCAGCACTCCTGATGCCTCGAGAGCAAGGTGCTCTTTCTTCTAGGTAGAGAGGTGACGGCTGTGAGCTGGAGGAGAGTGAATGCTGCTCCAATCATGGAGATTTGAAGAAGCCCCAGCATCTCCAAGAGGGGCCAGCAGCCATCGTTCCACACTTGCCTGGGGTCCAAGAAGCCTCTTGGCATCAGCAGGGGGATGCCTCTTGTGAGTGTGCAGTGAGTGCAGATGTGAATAATAGATTCTGCACCAAAAATGGGAGTGTGAGGGACCCTCTGGCTCCACAGGGCACAGCAGCAATGGGCAATGAACACAGAAGGAACCTCAGAAGATTCCTGGGTGAGTACAGGGCCACCCCTGTGGCCTCTAGGCAGGGGCCCGTGTCCCCTCCCAAGGCCAGGGCTGGCAGGTGTGTGGCTGTTTCCAAATGTCTGGAAGAGGCCTCGTGCTCTGCTGGGCTGCATCAGTGGCTGGAAGCAAGAGCCCCAGCTGCCCCCAAGGCTGTGCAGTTCTCCTGCTGCAGCCTGTCCCCACAGCTGTGTCCCTGCCTGTCCCCACAGCTGTGTCCCTGCCTGTGGCCAGGCTCTTGGCTCTCTGGCTGCCAGCTGAGGGAGAGCCACACTGCCTCAGGGCTCCCTGCTCTGCTCCCTGGCCATGGGCTGAGCAGATTGCAGGGCCGGCTCTGCTTCTGGCAGCCAGCAGCTCTTTCCTGCTCCAGGTGAATGGTTCAGGTGCCATCCCGTGGGCACGGTGGTGCTGATTCTGCTGCTGCTGGTGCTGGCTTTGGGGGTGGCCTTGGCTGTGCTGGCAGGTAAGGGAGGGGCAGCAGCCTGGGCCCAGCCCCTCGGGGCAGAGCGGGCTCCCTGCTCCCTGCACAGGGGAATCCTCAGACTTTCTCCTCTTCCCCCTGCAGCACCACAGGTTCCAGTCACACCTGGGACTCCACAGTGTGTTCTGGGCTGTCCCTTTGACTGGGTTGGGCACAAGGGGGTCTGCTACTACTTCTCAAAATATCATGGCACATGGTAGCAGGGCCAGGAACGGTGCTCCAAGCTCAATGCCTCCCTGGCCATTGCCAAGGATGAGGAGGCCATGGTGAGTGAGGGGCTGCGGGCGCTGTGTGGTGGCTGAGGGCAGCCTGGGGGCGCTCCTGGGCCGGGCTCGGTGCTCGTAGGGCCGGGGCTGCAGCCCTGGGCCGGGGCCTTGCAGGGAAGGAGCCCCGGCGTGCGGGGGGAGCCCCGGGCACGTGTCCCCCCGAGGGGCCGGGGCAGCTCCCACTCCTCTCTCCTGGGCAGGATTTGCTCTTCCGCCTCCGCGGGAACGGCGATTTCTGGCTCGGGCTGCGCAGACGGGGCAAGCGCCTGCACTGGGGGGACGGCAGCAGCTACAGCTCCCGGTGAGTGCCGGGCAGCCGGGCAGGGCCTGGGGGCACAGGGGCACAAGGGCTTCCCCTGGCAGCCAGTGCTGCCTCTGCTCCTCCCTGCAGGGTTCCTGTCTTTGGCAATTCCGAGTGTGTGTACCTGGCTGATGAGAGATTCAAGAGTGACAACTGCTCCAATGAGTGGCCGTATGTCTGCAGCAAGGCCCAAGCTCCCCTGTAACAGGGGCTGCGGAAAGTGTCTTCTGCACACTGGGCAGTGCCAGCTTCACCTCTGAGCCCAGCACAGCACTGTCCTTCCTCAGCTGCGCCCTGTGCCTTGCACTTCCTCTCAGGGTCACCTCAGTGCCTCTTCATCCCCAGTGCCAACGCTGGGCTGGGGCTGCAAAGGAAAAGTCTCTGCAATCCATCCTGCCACCGACGCTGCCTGCAGTGAGTGCATTACCCTCATTATATGTGGGAAACATGGCTCACTATTTACACTTTTTTTAAAAAGTTTATTAAGGTTAAAATCCCACCCTGGGATGCTCTCCTGTTTGCACTGAATTAAGTTAAACTGCATTTTCTATATACTGTTTCATTTTAGAGCTACATGCATATTTATACAAGTTTTGAAGAATTCCAACATAACTTTGAATTTACGTTTTTTTTTGTTTTTTCCTTTTGACTTGTTTTCAGGCTATTTTGTACTTTAAAGTAATACATTTAATCTTTTTCTAGTGGTTCTATCTTTTTGTATTTTCACTCCCTGATACCGATGGTCCATAAAGTCTTTTTTTTCAATGTTCTGCTTTTTCTTTCTATTATCTTGTCTTTCTGATAAGAAAGTCCTTGAATGTGGGAAATCAATTATTTTACACCATTTTCTGAGTTACTTACATTGTTGTAGTGTGTTTTTATACTTTGTAATACTTTGAAGTAGTTTTTGTTTGTATCCCTGTATTTTTCCCAAATGGTTTATCCCAGATGGTTCCCACCTCCCTTTACCTGTCTAATCCCTCTCCCTGGCTCTCTTCAATCCCCAAACCCCCACCCTGGCTCTCTTCAATCACTCAGCATCCCACCCCCTCCATCTGGAAGCTTCGTCCAGGTCGTTGACTGATCAGCCAGAGTCCAGGGGTCAGTCCCCCAAGCCTTGCCCCATACGCTGTCCTAAATGTCCATTCCCCAGTGCCCATCCCTTAGGGTCACTCATTGGTCAGTAAAATGTTATCTACTTTCGGTTTCCACCTCCCTTTAAATGTAACCTTGTCACCTCTCCCGGGGATCTCAGCAGGAGCCCCCTGAGGTGCAGGAGCTCCCCAAAGCCCCTGAATAAAATCTTGGATTCACCCCTGCTAAGAGTCGGCCCTTTATCTTCTCCCGATGTCTCTGGTGTCTCCTCTGCTGCAAAGGTGACCAGCCCAGCTGCCCTCAGTACCCTCGGGTGTCTCCGTGCTGTTGGCCGGGTCGGGGCTGCCCCCCAGTGTCTGGGACCGGGGACTGGCCGAGGGCTCCTGAGAGGCTCCCAGAGGGACAGAGACATTACATGAAACAATAATTTCAACATTTCAGTCTCTATTATGCTATGGTCTAAGAAAGTATCTGTTACACCACTATTTATAAAAGCTACAGGGTGCATACATAAACTGACAGATTATACTGTATCAAAAGCAGTAATTCCAAATTGTACTGTATGAGGATTTTTGTGATCCATAATAACTTGCAAAACAAATGTTAATACATAAATGCAGAAGGCAATGCCTATATTTGTTATAAATAAGATTATACAACAAGCTCAAGTAGGAAATCCAAATTACCCTGGGCTCCTGGAAATCATCACAAACTGGCCTGAAGGTGAGAATTTTGGATTGTCCTTGGAAGATGTAAGAAACGACCCTCACTTTTAATATCTTAAAGGTTTTTTTAACTTTAAAAAAATTACAACAGACTGAATGAGGAAAAATTACAGCTCTGGGGGGTCTCTGGGACTGGCAGCCATGTGCTCATTTATAAAATTGATGCTTTGCCTTTTATACCCTCAGCCCCTTCCAAAGCTTTGTCAGTCAACTCCTTCTCTGCCCTCCACAGGTGGAGATCACTTCCTCACACCTTGACTGGAGCTCAGGTGTAGTCCTGTGGCCCCTCCTGGTAATGAGCCAACCCTCCCCAAATGCCCTGGGAACTGAGGATGGTACAAGGGGGAGGGAAAGGGGATTGTGGGGGCACATATTACAGTAACAGCACTCTACATCTACAAAACTTCTCACATACACATAATATCTGTCTCTCAATTGTGAGAGCCAACCATCACATCATTCACCTATAAAAAACCCCCCTTCTTTTCCTATGAGTCATTTGTCTCAAACAATTAGCTCTAATTTTTGATTCTGATAATCTGCTCTTACTTCTCAAAAAAATATTTTGAATGAATAATACTAGCATCTGTTGATGTGGGTGAGGACCGTGGGAACACAAGGAAAAATCTCTTTTTTTTTTTTAGCCACACCTATTTGGAATGGACAAAATGGGATCACTGAGGTCTGGTTTGGTTTTTTTACCCCCATCTACCATGCCCATGGGGCTGCTACTCATAGCAGGTGTATCTTAGTGGTGAGTACAGAGGCCAACTCAGTCTTACCTTCTTGTCCTGTTGAATTAAAAGACAGCTGAGCAATGACAGAGGCCTGGGGTGTCTTTCTTGCCCCCACCTTGCCATGCCTATGGGGTTGCTGCCCACAGCAGGGCTATGGAATCTTCTTGGTGGTGAACACAGGGGCCAACCTGGTCTTGTTCTCTATTTCTTGTTTCACTCTACTTGTTGGTCCTGAAGGAAACTGCCCCAATACCACTTATGGTTCCCTGTGTACTTCCTCTCAACAGATGCTTGTAATTCTCATCTACTAAAACAGGACAATTACATCAATAAACAATACAGGTCAAACTCCCCACCCAAAGTATTAGTTAAACAATCTTCAAGCTCTCTGGAAACTTGACTCCACTTTTCGGACATCTTCAGTCTTTGGTTCTCTCTCACCTGCTCTGCATGTTACAATCTATTCTTTGGGTTCTCTCACCAGCCTTTAATTCTGTTGCCCTGAGTCCCTCTCGCTCTGCGCTTGGCACAGCCCATTCAGCTCTCAGGTAGAAGGATCCTTCCAAGCCAAAGGGATTTCTGAAGCATTCCTAAGCTGCAGCACCTGGATGCCTTCAGGCCATCCATCCAAAAGGAAAAGTGACTTCTGGACCCTGAGAGAGCCCAGTGATCTGTTGGCAGGAGAAATCAGGAATGGAGAAGGTGATTCCAGCTCTGCTGGTTGCTGTTCCTCCCCATTAGACAGGAGAGGATCAAGCACATTCCATCAGCCTTTGCTTCCTCAGGGCATGAAATCCCTGAGGAGACAAGGCTGCCTCAGGGCCATCAGATCCCACCTGGGAGAAGGAAATGCTTAAAACCTCATCATGGTCTCAGCCACTCAAATGAGGAACTTTTCTTGTGGGTCCCCAGTACCATTTCCAACAAAGCCCAGCTGGTGCTGAAAATTGCATTCACATTCAGGGGGCAAAACCAATAAGGAGTCACAGACATCTGAGGCAAAATGAGTCACACATAAAAGTAAAATTTCTCTTTGTTTTTAACAGAGGCAGATTTTCAACTTTTAAGCCCAACTCTTCTCTGACACACAAAGGGGCATAAAATACAGAAACACTTTAGTTCTAACTTGAAAAATTTGATTTTTGGCAATTCTATTCACACATGAAGTGCGGCTGGATGAACACTACTGAAGCACACAAATACTAAGACTACTACTGCAAACTGCAGAAATTACTGGAAAGTCTCTTCTACTGGCACAAGTATAAACATGTCTAAAGGTTTCCTTGTATGGAGAGTAGCTAAAATGAATGATTCCAACATCAAAATCAACTGGAAAAAATTATTTCAGGTAAAGTGTTAAAGAAATGAACACTGTATTGTAGATATATATTATAGTATGGGATTTTTGCATATATTAAAGTGGATTTTATAAGTGTGGTGTTAATGTGACTTTGCTAAAAGTACATAGTTTCTATTTCTGTTGTTAACTAAAACTTAGAAATAGCTGATCTAGATATGCTTGTGTTAAAATGCCTGCTTGGTTGAGATAATATCTAAGGAATACATGATGCTAACTATCAGCACTCATCTCCTGAAGGCAGTGTGGACCCCAGCCCAAGAACTGAAGGTGATGATAAAATGGACTAAAACCACAACCAAGAAATGTGCATGCTCTAAATGCACAGGACCCAAGGAAGAGCCATGCAAAACAGTTCTTGGGGCATGTAAACCAGTTTGGGAAAAAATTTAAATATGCACCAGGCTGATGTAATAGAAATGCTGTATAAGTGTGCTTCCAAACTAGCAGGTGTGCTCCGTGCTGAGGGCCAAGAGACTCCCAGCTGTAACCTCTGCTTTGTTGTCTTTGTCTCCTATTAATGTCCTTTATTAAAGTTTTATAGTTTACCAGGAAAGGGAACAGTGTTTATTCAGGTATTTTCTGAGTCATATTTTCAAGATGATAAACAGAAACTAAACTGTCTGAGGGCAAGAGAGCATTACAGTGAGTAACAGTCTGACATGGGAAAAATTTAGGGAAGCAACACAAAAGCTTTTTATCTAACTGAAAGTCTGTTGAACCACTAAGCAGCTGAACATGCCTTTGGGAAAGATACTGTTAAAACCAAAGGAATTCCCTCTTCTCCGTCTGGCCGGCAGTGAGGTACCACAGCCGGGCGGGGGCTGCCACCGGCCGGGCTGGGCCCCTTCCCCATCCCAGCCCCGCTGCCGGGCAGGGAGAGGGGGATGCTGCGGGCCGGATGGAGCCGGCCTTGCTCTCATCTCACTGCTTGTTACAGCCCCAGCCCGGCACAGCCGAGCCCTGGGAGCAGCCCCAGGCCAGCATCGGGATTTTACCCCCGAGAAGAGGCCGCAGCCATCGGGCAGGGCAAGGAGAAGCCGCCCCTGTCCCACCCAGCCCAGCCCCGAGCGCT